CACACACACACACACACACACACACACACACACACACACACACAATGATTCCTGGATAGGTAATGAGATTACCATGCCTACAGGCACATACAATCCCACAGGATTTCCTCCCTCAAGTTTAATTTGCTCTGAACATCTGAGATTTTAGATTTTCAGGTCCCATCTAGTCATTTAGTGGACTTAACTTTGCATTCATTTCCCAGGATCCCATGCTGCCACTGTTTGAAGGTGATGACTTAAGGATACTGGCCCAGGAGATCACCAAGTCTAGAAGCCTCCTCAAGAAAGCCCAGGACTTCAGGTGTGCCTAACAGGCTGTCCCTCCCACGTCTTGCCACCCAGACCCTGGAGACCTTCAAAATAAAGCCCACCTTGGACATAGCGCCTGTGCTCCAAAAGCTTGAAATGTGGACCAGACAACTGTCTCCACCTTTAAAATTATTTTTTAGTTAGCATGCAAAATAATAGGTTTGATTATAGTATACATATACACCATCATACTTTGTTCATATTAACCTCCAATTAACCACCTTGTCCCCCGTCCTCTCCCACAATTGTCCTCCTCCTCCCCTCAAATAGTCCCCCTTCTGTTTTATGTCATTTAAAACAAAAACAAAAAAGCACACGGCATTGTTTTTCTCCAACCCACCCCCTATTACCCCCTCATGGAGAACCATTTTTACTTACCTTCTGCCTTCCAGATCACAGCTCCAGAAGAAAAACACTCTGGAACCAGAGGTCACTCTTTTCTAGAACATGTTCTCAGGTAAGGGAAGGAGTGGATGCCAAGGGCCCAGGCACATGCTGTTTTATACACAGTTATAACTGTGGGGAGGGATCCAAAACTGTGATTCCTCTGACCAGAAAACCACTCCCTGAGCACACCTGACATAAAGGGCAGGCTGACTTAGAAAGAAGCGGAACAGGAAGGCACCTTTCTTTGCGTACGCAGCCTCCCGAGGTCTACCTCACTCTCCTGCCCAGTCCACCAACACCCTACACTGCAGCTACGAGGTTGTCACTCACTGGGAAGTCCGGAGTCAAGCTCCTTGCCTTGGGACATCTTTCTTGCCATCCTCTGCCTAGTGACTCCTGTTCATCCATCAAGACACAGCTCAGATGACATCAGCTCTACTGTGAAGATGCCCCCGGGATCCTTCCAGAGCTGGGAACCTTCAGGCACATCTGGAAGCTTCTGGCCTTCTCTGGTAGCATCCTGACCAGCCATGCCTCTTGTGGCATTCAGCACATGCAGCCACGATGCCCTGCTTGATGTTCTAACTCTTCTTGATCATGACTCCCCCAGGAGACTGCTGTCTTAACTATCCATGAGTCCCCAGAACCTACCACATCACAGACACGTGGTAAGCAGTGAGCACTCAGCTGAGTGTGGGAAGCCAGTTCTGGATAGCAGCCAAATGAGGACCACCACACTGGTCCACAGGCCACAGCAGTCATTGGCAGCGCAGCCTTGGGGGAAAAAACAGTCAAACTTCATCACCACCCTAATCCCTGCTAAGCGAACTGAACCAAAGACTACTCTGGAACTCAGTCTAGAATGAATGCTCTGCCCAAGCCTCTTCATCTTTTGGACCTAGCCCTACTGTAAATGAATAGAGGTGTCATGTCATCTGGGATCATTTCCTAAAATGTAAAAATGACTTTTATTTCATTGAATCAAAATGACTTTAAATGCTTGATCACTGTTGGTGGGGGAGGGAGAGTAAATTGTAAATTCTGAGCGAGCTAAAATGTTATTAATAGACTCATATCTAGCTGAGTGTGATGGTACATGCCTGTAATCCCAGCACTCAGGAGACAGAATCAGGTGGATCTTTGTGAATTTGAGGTCAACCTGGTCTACCTAGCAAGTTCCAGATCAGCCAGTACTGTCTCAACCCCCATGCAAAACAGAACAAAAGAATCATACCCAGATTATATAAAGAACTTCAGCAGGCCGAGCATGGTGGTGCACGCCTTTAATCCCAGCACTCGGGAGGTAGAGGCAGGCAGATCTTTGTGAGTTCAAGGCCAGCCTGGTCTACATACATAGCGAGATTCCAGACCAGCTGGGGCTGCAGAGAGACCCTATCTCTAAAAAGACCAAAAAAAAAAAAAAAAAAAAAAAAAAAAAAAAAAAAAGAACTTCACAATGTCATACTGCAGATTTAAATATAAACTATCAATAAAATGCATGAAGTGAAAAAACAACTTCAGATAAATATAAAATAAGGTAAATATTCTTATTTTTAAAAAATGGACAGTGGGAACTGGAAAGATGGCTAATGGAAAGATGGCTCAATGGTTAAGAGCACTGGCTGCCCTTGTAGAGGACCTAGGTGTTGTTCCCAGCACCCACATGGTATCTCACAATTATCTATATAACTCCAGTTCCAGGAGATCCAACACTATCTTCTGGCATCTGGGGGAACAAGGTATGCACATGGTGCACTTATGTAGGCCAAACACTCATATACATAAAATGAAAATAAATCTAAAAATACGTATTTTTATTTATTTTTTATTTTTTTATGTATGAGTGTTTTGCCTGTGTGGATGGAAGTGCACCCATGTCATGTAATGCCTACAGAAGTCAGAAGTGGGCATCAGATCCCCTAGAACTGGAGTTAAGAATAGTTATTAGCCAACATGTCGGTGTTGGGAACCCAACCTGGGTTGTCTGCAAGAGCAGCCAGTACTCTTAACCACTGAGCCATCTCTCCAGCCCCCTAAAAAGTTCTTTAATGGTCAGTGATTGAAACACACAATGGTAAATGTATAAACAAAAATATAGAAGTGCTCAACCTCGGGGCTGGAGAGATGGCTCAGTGGTTAAGAGCACTGGCTGCTCTTGCAGAGGACCTGGATTCGGTTCCCAGCACCCACATGGCAGTTAACAACCATCCATAACTCTAGTTCCAGGGGATCTGACACCCTCTCCTGGATTCTTTGCACATCATACATACATGGTGCACTCACATACATGCAGACAAAACACTCATACACATAAAGTAAATAAAAATTTTTTAATGTGTGCAACCTTTAGGGGTAAAACTCACTGGTAGAGCACTTGCCTAGCATGCACAAGGCTCTATGTTCAATTCCCAGTAACATGCACACACACACACACACATACACACACACCCCACCACCACCACCACCACCACACCACACACACAATACAATTGAGCTAAGCACAATGGTACATGACTGTAATTTCAGCCCTTGGAAGGTAAAGGCAGGAGAATCAGGAGTTCAATATCAGGCTGGGCTACAAGAGATTTTATTTTCAAAAATCAACCCCTTAGTATCCCTTTAAAAGTGGGGGAGAACTGGAGAGATGTCTCAGTGGTTAAGAGCACTGGCTGCTCTTGCAGAGAACCCGAGTTAGATTCCCAGCACCCACGTGGTGGCTAATAACCATCTGTAACTCCACTTCCAGGGGAATCCAGTGCCCTCTTCTGACCTCTGCAGGCATTGCATGACACAAGTGTACATACACACATGTAGGCAATACACTCACACATAAAATTAAAATAATAAATAAAAAAAAGGAAATGCCAGGTGTGGTGGTGCATACCTTTAATTCCCAGCACTCGGGAGGCATAGCAGGTGAATTTCTGTGAGATCAAGGCCAGCCTGGTCTACACAGTGAGTTCCAGGCCACCTGGGACTACAGGGAGACCCTGTCTCAAAAAAACCAAAACAATGAAAAGATGCTCATCATCCTTACATATCATGGAAATGCAAAATAAAGTCACAATGAAATACAGCTACAACAAAACAACTGACAATGTCAAGATATAGTGATTGGGACGCTCATATTGCTGAGATTGAGGTCAGGGAAAGAGAGTGAAAATTGGTTCAAACATTTTGGAAAACAATTTGGCAATTTCTTCTAAAGCAAAACATATGTCTGGTATATGACCCAGCAATCCCATTCTTAGAGAAATAAATGCAAGACTGTTTACAGTAGCCTTATTTGTAAGAGCCCCAAACTGGAAACCACCCAACATTCATGCAAATAAGCTAGGATACATCTGTATAGTGGCAAACTATAAATTAATGGAAAAAGAATGAACCACATTCAGTAAGACACATCAAACTCATGAGCAATGTAAACAAAAGAACCAAACACAAGATGGAGATGTGGCTCGTTTGGTAGAATGCGTGTCTGGCATGCACGAAGTCCCAGGTATAGTGATGAACACCTGTAATCCTAGCATCATCCTCAACTACACAGTGAGTTCAAGGCCAGCCTGGGCTATATAAGTATCTCTCGCTCTAAAAAAAATTACACCTAAGAGTACATGCTGACAATTCCACTTATATTACAGGCAAGAACAGGTAAAATGAATTATTTGGGAGAGCTGTCACAGGGGAGCATATAGAGCAGATATGGGAATATCTAGGGTGCTAGGTGCTGGAAATGGTCTCTATCCTCATCTGAGTGGCAGTTACATTGCTGTGGTTTGGATATAGTTTGACTATGTCCTCCAAGAATTCATATGTTTAAGTGTGTGATGGTGTTCATAGATGAGGCTTTGGGGAGGTGACTATGGTTAAACAAGGTCACAAAGCTAGAACCCCCATGATTAAATCCTGGTAGCTTTTCTTTAAATTTTTTATTTTTTTTAATTTTGTATGTATGAATATATTGCCTGAATGTGTGTTAAGTGCACCTGTGCCGTGCAATGCCCGCAGAGGTCAGAAGGCAGCTTTGGATTCCCCTGGGACTAGAGTTACAGACATTTGTTAGCTGATATGTGAGTGCTGGGAATCGAACCTGGGTTCTCTGCAAGAGCAGTCAATGCTCTTAACCATTGAGCCATTTCTCTATCCCCTAAATCCTGGTAGCTTTTTAAAATATATATTTTTTATTTCTATTTTTTAAATGTGTATGAGTGTTTTGCTTGCCTGTAAATGCACCCATGTGCAATGCCCACAGAGACCACAAGAGGGCATCAGATCTCTCTAGCTCCAAATCCTGGTAGCTTCATAGCAAGGGACTCCCAAAGAAAGACACACTGTCTCTTCCTTGTGAAGCCCAGTGCCACTCAGGACACTATCAACAAGGTCTTCAGCATAGGCAGCCCCTTAACTTTGCATCTCAAGAATGCTGAATCTGGGGTAGGAGAGATGGCTCAGCAGTTAAGAGCAGTAGCTGCCCACATGGTGGCTAATACAGCTGCATTTGCATACATGCAGACAACACACTCATACACATAAAATAAAAATGATAAATAAAAACTATTTTAAAAGGAACTTTGAGCCAAAACAAATTTCTTTTCTTTACAAAGTTACCCAGTTTCAGGAGGCAGAATTGTTACTAATCTGAGCCAGGCTGGGCTACATAAGGAGTTTAAGACCAGCCTGGGATCCAGATATAGCAAAAGTCTATCTTGGAAAAAAAATTCATAAGATATTTAAAAACACAGTTTAACTGGGGAGTGGTCCATTCCTATAATCCCAGAATTCAGAAGATTGAGGAGGAAGGATTGTGAGTATAGCACCAGCTTGGGACTATGTAATGAGACCTTATCTCAAAAGAACAAACATTCAAATAAATAATAAAACATTCAGTTTGCTAAGACTTGACAAGATCCTTCTTTGGCCAGACTTTGCTGTGCTCAATCAGACAGCTGTGACCACAGCTCCTACCATCCGGGATCACCATAAACACAGGGAAAACAGCCTACACTGGTCATATTAGTTTGCCAGAGCTGTCCCAAACAAAGTAACCCAAACCAAGTGGCTGAAACAATATAAATGTCTCGAAATTTTGGAGGCTGGAAATCCAAGATCATTGTCCTGGCAGAGCCAGGCTCTACTGAAGGCACTCGGAAGGATCTGGCCCAGACTTCTCACTTCTAATAGCTCTGCTTTGGCAACATAACTCCATTCTTCACCTGATGCACTCCCTGTGGGCATGTCTGTGCCCAAATTTCCTGCTCATTATTTTGACATCTTTTGTAATGAAGTAGGAACCCTTCCCACTCTACTGAGACCCCATCTGAACTAGTTCTATGTGCAGTGAGTGATTTGCATTCTGAGGTACTAGGAGTTGGAGTTTCAACATATGAATTTGGTTGGGAACACAACCCATGAGTTGTGAGTGGTGATCCTCTCTACAAGCCAACCAACACCAGGAGCTGGCATCGGGAATACGAGTCCTGCTGGTGGAAAGAAAGACCAGAGCAGATGCCAGGTTTGTGGAGTAGTGATGGAGAGGAGGCAGTTTTGAATCCCAACTTCTCATATAATAACAACTACTATTGGTTGAGCACCAACTGAGCAGCAGCAGATTCAGGTTCTGTGTTTTCCATATCCTCTATTACATCAACCATAAGCTCACAGTGTCCTGAGTGTAAACTACACACCATTTCCAGTTTGTGGATGAGGAAACTAAGCCTTGTAGCTGCCCAAAGACACACAAGAAAGTGACAAAGGAGCCAGGCACATCCCAACACTCAGGAGGCAGACCAGCCTAATCTACATAGTGAGTTCCAGGCCAGTCAGGGTTACATAGTAAGACCCTGTCTCAAAGAAAAAAAAAATAAAAGGCAAAGGACTGACAAGATGAGTTGGTGGGTAAAGGCGCTTGCCACCTGATGACCTAAATTCAATCCCTGGAGCCCACATGGAGAAGAGAACCAGCTCCTGCAAGTTGTCCTCTAACTTCCTCATGTGCACTGTGGCACACACATGTGCTCACACACATAAATATAATTTTTTAAAAATGGCAAAGCCAGGGGCTGGAGAGATGGCTCAGCAGTTAAGAGCACTGACTGCTCTTGCAGAGGACCTGGGTTCGAGTCCCAGCACCCACATGGCGGCTACGAACTGTCCTTAACTCCAGTTCCAGGGGAATCCAAAGCCTTCGACCTCCGAGGCATTGCACAACATGGGTGCACTCACATACATGAAGGCAATATACTCATACACATAAAATAAAAATAAAATACTTTTTTAAAAAGTGGCAAAGCCAAGACTTAAGTACCCCATAACCTGTCCCCACCACACATGGAGCCCGTTTTCTGAACCTTTTTCCCTGTCTCTAAAATGGGCTGAAACAGAATCATGAAGATCAAACAAGATACCTTACCACCTGGCACACGGCATGAGCAGCCTACGGTTTGGGGTTTCCCTCCCTCTTCTATGCCCTCAGAGCATATGAGTGGAGATTTTTCAGTGGTCTTTTCAAACTAAAGTGACCAACATGCTCCCTACTCTCTGCCCTGATGCTTCATTGTAGCAGATGTGTGGCAGACTGGACAAATGCCCACCCCTCTGCTGATGTCACTCAAACATGAGTTTTCCAGAGATGGTAGAGCCATCCTGTTCCCCAGCACAGAAGAACTCAGTAAAATGGAATGGTATAGATCCAAGCCTGGTGGTACAGGCTTAATCCCAGCTCTTTGGGGGACTCAAGTCATGAGGATCACAAGTTCAAGGCCTGCCTGGGCTATAGAGGGAGTAAGTAAAAAATAGGCTGAGGATGTAGCTCAGTGCTAGAGCACTTGTCTAGCATGTGTGAGGTCCTAGGTTGCATCCCCAGTACTGCAGGGGGGTGGGGAGGAAGGGTGAAAGGATATAAGAAAGGTACATAGATGGGTGGAAGGAAGGACAGTAAAGTATATGAGCTGAATTGGGTAGATGAAAGTTTGGTTGAATAGCTGGCAAGATAGACAGGTGGAAGTTGATGGATAAGTGAAAGGATGCATGTATGGATTGGTGGATGTGTGGGTGGATGGATGAATAGATGAATGGGGATGGATGGGTGAATGGTGGATGAACGATGGGGATGAATGGGTGGATGAATGGATGGGGTGGATGAATGAAAGGCTGGATGGATGGTTGACTGGAAAGTTAAGAGGTGGACTGATGAAAAGTTAGATTGATATGTAGGTGGAAGTTTGAATGAACAGATGCAAAGACAGATGAAACTGACAGGAAACTAAATGGATGGACATTAAGATTAGTTTTTTTTAATGGGTGGGAAGATGGATGTGTAAAGAGAGGCATGGGGGGGCTGGAGAGATGGCTCAGCAGTTAAGATCACTGAGAGGGCCAGCACCCACATGGCAGCAACCGCCTGTAACTCCAGTTTCAGGGGCTCTAACGCCCTCTTCTGGCCTACGCCGGCATTGTGTGACACAGGTGCACTTACATGCAGGCAATACAGTCATGCACATAAAATAAAAAATGAATCAAAACACGGAAGCAAGAAGGAAAGCTGAGCGTAGTGTAGAACAGATGGCTGTGGCGTAGAATCCGCAGGACCGAGGCCTGCACACTGCGCCTGGGTGTTTTTTCCCCAGAAGGGCAGCCGGGTCACTCACAGGTAGCCTCTGCCGGGCTCTGCTTGGAGGCGCCGGGGGCGGGACCGCAGGGTGCAGGCAGGCAGGGCGGTCCCCGCAGTCAGCCCGCCCCAGCTGGCGCTGTACAGGTGGCGCTCACCGCGGCGCGGAGACACAAGAGGCGCTAGGAGCACGCAGCACCGCGGGAGCCTGAGCCAGGTGAGCGCAGCGGGAGATGCGGTTCTAGCTGGGAAAGGAGGATTGGGAGGATGGGGATCCGCCCGGTCCATCAGCTGCCTTCAGAGTGGGGCCCGTACTCCTTCCTGCCACCAGGAGCTGAGGCATCCTGGGTGGACCCTGCCAATCCCTGCCCTTTTCTCAAACCCCACTTTGGAGCTTCCTGGATTCGAACTGAGTCCTTTAACGATCTTCATTGTGTTTGTTTATCATCATCATCATCATCATCATCATCATCATCGTGTGTGTGTGTGTGTGTGTGTGTGTGTGTGTGTGTGTGTGTGTAAGTTGAGGTTGGGTCGAGTTCCCTGGCGCACGTGTGGAGGGAAGTCAAAGGACAACTTTTATGGAGTCGGTTCTCACCACTCTTCCGTGAGTTCTGGGGATGGAACTCCTGTTGCACAGCCCTGCACCTTTGCCTGCTGAGCCACCGCCTTGACCCTGTTGTTTGGGTTCTTTAAAATTCTGTACCCCAGACTGACCTGAAACTCACTACTAATCCAGGCTGGCCTCAAACTCGTGGCAATCCTCCTGCCTCAGCCTCCAAACAGCTGGGATTACAGGCGTGGCCAAGCTCCACCTTTTATTATAACTCTTTCACAATCTTTTACAATTTTCTAGTCCTGCTTCCAATTCTGGGAGATGGGAACAGCAGTTTTTACTTCCTGGGATTGCCAGGAGACCAGTGTGGCTATAGCCAGGCTCAGTCCTGAGCTTGGATGGAGAACAGGCCCCTGTGTATTCTCTTAGCCTCTTGCCAAGCAGTTTCAGGCACTGGGGACACCCCCGAGCAAATCCTTCGCAAAGGCTTTGGTGTCTTTTCTCTCACGACTACTGTGTGAGGTAGCTGGAGCAGCCAGGATGACTGGGGCCCATTTCACAGCTGTGGATACTGAGCTGATCATACTAAAGAGCACGTCCAGTCTTTGCCATCATAAGACTCCCACAGACCCTTCCCCAGAATAGTCCACTCTGCCTCAATAGAGGAGACTTTCCAGCCTGGAGCTGCACCTTCTCTCCTCCTTGGGAGGCAGGTTAGACCTCATCTGTGCCAACTCTAGTTGGGGTTGACCCTCCCCACTGCTTGTATGGGACATGGCTGAGTTCTTGTCCCAGAATTTGGCAAACAGGATAATGACAGAGGAGACAAAGAGGAAGTTCTTATAACTGTCAGGGTCCCTACCCTATGACCACCACCAGCAACAGCAACATCGGTCAGTGAGTCAGTTGGTCAGTCAACAAACACTTGCTCTTTTTTCAGTATGCACCGTGCAGGGCAGAGACTCACCTATCTTTATCTGTAGGACCTGTGGTACACAGTCACCACTTTTATAATGATAATGACTTGGCCCCTGGTCCAGCCTGTTGCTCAGGTGGATAGGGCTGGGGAAGGACTGAGAGCCTAGTTCATTTTAAGCCTAGAGACAGGAGGACAGGATTCTCAGAACTGGTCCCTGGGGCCCACAGACCTGACCCAGAAGGCTACAGGGCTCTTGGACAGACCTTATGTCAACCAGCTGTGCTCCTGAGGGACCTGCTGTCAGAAGTGGGTGAATCATAGACAAATTTGGGGGGTTCCATGTGGTTCTCCTCTTCCTCCTCTTCTTCCTGTTCCCCCTCTTTTTCCTCCCCTGGTTCTTCCTCCTTCTCTTCCTCTCCTCTCTCCTCTTCCTCTCCCTCTTCTCCTCCTCTTCCTCTTCCTCCTCCCCCTGGTCCTCTTCCTCTCCCTCTTCTCCTCCTCTTCCTTTTCCTCCTCCCCTGATCCTCTTCCTCTCCCTCTTCCTCTTCCTCCTCCCCTGATCCTCTTCCTCCCTCTTCTCCTCCTCTTCCTCTTCCTCCTCCCCCCTCTTCCTCCTTCTCTTCCTCTCCTCTCTCCTCTTCCTCTCCCTCTTCTCCTCCCCCGATCCTCTTCCTCTCCCTCTTCTCCTCCTCTTCCTCTTCCTCCTCCCCCTGGTCCTCTTCCTCTCCCTCTTCTCCTCCTCTTCCTCTTCCTCCTCCCCTGATCCTCTTCCTCCCTCTTCTCCTCTTCCTCTTCCTCCTCCCCTGATCCTCTTCCTCCCTCTGCTCCTCTTCCTCTTCCTCCTCCCCTGATCCTCTTCCTCCCTCTGCTCCTCCTCTTCCTCTTCCTCCTCCCCCCGATTCTCTTCCTCCCTCTGCTCCTTCCTTTTCTCGTCCGCTCCCTTCCTTTTCCCCTCCTCCTCCTTCTCTTGCTCCTCCCGCTTTTCCTTTCCCTTCTCTCCTCCCCACTCTCCCCCCTCCTCCTTTTCATTCCCCTTTCTCATCCTCTTCTTCATCCTCATCCTCCTCTTCTTCCCTGC